CAAATTTTAAATTTCGATAACAGCTACCTAAATTTTCGTCGACCTTGTATAGCCTGATATTTAATTACAGTAACCATTGTATGTTAAACCAAATTGAAATTTGACCCGAAAAGTTATACAGGGTAAGACAAAATTAATATAGAACATAAGTCGTTTTTAAAAGCAAGTTACTCCTTTATTTTAAATGGAACACCCAGTATATTATTCCGGTGTTCAATGGGGAATTTATATATCTTCAAAATATTATTAAGGTTGCCTACCCCTCAGACAAAGATTTTCCTACAATTTAGGTAGCTTTTATTGTAATTTAAAAATTGTTTTTTTATTTCTAGAAAATGTTAAATCATGTCAAAAATCTTACATTTTAGTCATTTTAGTTTAGTTCTACTTCTCTTATAAAACTCACCTTTATTTTTCTCTCAGAATCCGAAAATCCATTAATATATAGGGTGTTCCATTACAGAAAACATAACTTTGATATGTAACTTTTTTTGGGGACACTCTGTAGAACTCTCTATATTTTTAAAAAGTGCTCTGAATTAACCATTTCAATACAAACTGTCGTTCTCCCTAGAGCCTCCGCGGCGTATGAGAGACGCTACCCTGTATGATGTTTTCATTCACAGGTCAATAAGAATTAAAAATATACAGAGCTATAAAAAGCTCTATATAAGGTTTATTTAAATTTTTGACATACTTAATATGGGGGCAATATTAACGCAGATTTTGAAAATATTTTTGGGAACATATAGGATGATTCAAACATATTTTCAAACTAATGTTATAATATATTTTTAAATGATTGGTTTTAAATATTTAGAATTAGAGACTTTAATAAAAAAGTGATTTTTTTGGAGAATTTCAACAAAATTTGTATAAAATGAAACTCGATATCTTTAATGCTACCACCTAACTTTTAGTATCTACTAAAGGTTATATGGATATAATGCATATAATTATATTTTAAATAATTTTAGTATAAAATTATAATAATTTTAACGAACCTACTTGAAATATTAAGCTGCTATGTATTTTAATTGCAATGATTTTAATAATATTTTATCATTGTTTTATTTAATACTAATTATAATTATTATAATTTATCCAAATAATAATATTTTAATAAATCATAATTACTACCAAAAATAATTAATAAGTAGCTCAAAAATGTAATGGCAAAATCCGATGCCAAAAAGAATGTTCTATAAAACTTCTTAATTAAAGTTGACACCGTTTCTTATAAAAGCGTTCTATCATCCTCAGTAAGGGTTATTATTTCGTCCTGGTCTGCAACAAGTTGCTTTATTGTTATCGAACTTATGATCTGCTGTACTAGATTTAATTTTCTACTAAATAATTAACTGACTATTGAGCTAATGACTCTATGTCAAAAAGATGAGTGGAATAAGTTATTCATATTTTTGACACCAGTGATTTATTTAACGCGGTTCACTAGTACGCGGTTTTATTAATTTCATTCTGATAAATAACACAGCACTGGAAACAGTAGAAGAATATATATATATTTGGGACAACTAATATACCGGGTGTTGCATCGTCGAGCGGAACATAGGAAATCCCATGTAAATTTTAATGGGGTCAATTATTGACTTCCCTAATTATTTTAGAGAAAAATTCTATTTAGGTTTATTGAAGAGCACTAAAACCCACATTCAAAAGAATAATTTTAAATATTTTTGATTAGCCCGTTTACGAGTTATCGCCGATTTCTTTTTAAATATTTCTCCTTTCTTATGGCCCTGTATTTACTTATGAGCACCAGTCAAGGTAAAAGATAACTGTCAACTGAAGTTGTCATTAAACTTTACTGAAAAATGGTATTGGTTCCTTAAATTTATACAGGGTTATATCAAAAGTTGCTGATCTATTTTAAGGATATATTTTATATAAAAACATTGCTATTTCAAATGTAACACCCTGTATATTTTTAAATAAATCGAAGCAGATTCAAATGCTCTTTCAAACTATATTAGGGTTTCCTATACCTATCTAGCTCAGATTTTGAATAAAAAGCGATTTTTAAATAAAATTGTAATCAAGATGGCTGGTGTCGCCATGGCAATTTTCTAGTGACAGTTAGTAACTATTTTCAAAGTCGACATTAGTTTATGGACATTATTATTTATAATTTATAACAGTTTACTTAAATTTACCTACAATAGTTTAATAAGTAAATATTCATTATTTTATCAAAAAAAATAAAGCAGTATCTGCTGGCGGAACGAATATAGTCTGTCCAACGAGAAGATCCTTGACAGTGATAGATGTGTCTGTCATTTTAATTTCAAAGTAGTTTATTTTATTTTACAAAGAAATAAGTTGGTACAACTGGAACGCATAGCAGGAAATTAATATATGTATTTAAAATTTGACTGACAAGTAACTTCAAAATATTGTGAAAAAAACTGTAAAAAAATTGTAATCGAGTTATTTTATTTAATAAAAAACGGTATGTGTTAATACAAAACAAACAAAAACAAGACACCACATACCAAAAAATATAAAAAAGAACTATTTTTTACTTTCAAGCTTTGTGAAACTTCCCGCATTTATGATTATATTTATCAATATAATTTATGTACAAATACAAATTTGTAATATTCCGCAGGAATAAATAAAACAACATAAATAAAACAAACTATTTTATTAATAATAACACTTACCAACTTTTATACCTCACAGGTTGATTAATTAACTTTAATCTTAATTTTTTTAAACCAGTACCTTTTGACATTATTTTTCTGCAGTACTAAAATTCATTATTTACCTATCGTGTGATGTCGATATTTTACAGCTACTCCAGTTTTTAGTATGGGTTTAGTTTCTATTCCTTCTACCATATTCGAGATGCACTTATCTACGACGAGATGGTATACGAACTTTATTGATAGTAACTTTATTGGTGTATCTGTTTAAGACTTTCTGCCTGGGCAGCGAGTATTAACCATAAACTCAAATAAACTGTGCTCTGGGTTCTACAGTTAATTTTCACTCGATTTTTCCTCCACTTGACTTCAAAAGACACAAAACACACGTAATAACACGAATCAAAATACATCATCTTCCAAAACGCAGGGTATTTGACACAAGTTGTCAGTTGTCACAAAATTATAACCTATATTTGGCAAGACTTTGACAAACGTCAAAAATCTAAAGGCGAGTTCATACGCATCGGCGTCCGTTTGTTGTTCATCGTTCCGTCAAACCAATAAAATTGAAATATGATCTGTCATTTTAGAAATAAACCAATAAAACTGGTTAAAAACAACAAGTGACGACGGACGACGCATGACGAATTTATATTTAAACCCATCCATAGTTAACTTAAAAATTATTAGAAACTTTTTTTAGTAAAATAAATAGATTGGTATGGGACGTCATCTGCTTTTCTTCTGTCATCGTCTGTCGAAATCTTACCTGAGAAAAAAAAAGAGAGTTATAGATACGTTACATGGTACAAAGAAAACAAGGTATGATCGATAGCGGCTCCAATTTCGTTAAGTTCGCGCATACCACCTGTGACGTCATACGCCATACAAAAAATATCCATATTGTTCAATTGCCACTAATAAAAAAAAGACCTAAAATAGGGAAGAATTAGGACATAACCCCAAAAGGTATGTTTTGACATCGAGCCTGACATTTGAAAAATTATTTTCATATTTTGACACAATCAAATTTCACAGATGACACAATCTGTTTGACAATTTGAAATTGGCGCGCAGAGCTTGCCGACCAATAGTGCCGTTTATCACCTGTGACGTAGCGACCAACCTGCGCAATATCATACCTTGTATTCTTTGTATCATGGATACGTTACTAGTGATATTATTTTGTGAGGAAAATTGCTTCTTGGACTTCAAAGATATCCAAATTGGAATCTTCCTGATAAGAGTTTCTTTGAAAAACTTCTTGTCCTATTTCGCCTGGTAGTGTGGTTTATAAAAAACCTATTAGGCAGAAACCTGTCGTTGGAAGTGAAGAAAATGAATTTGCCGTAATTGGCTCTTTTATAGAAAATCCATATATCTACAAGTCATCGTAAAATAAATCAAAGACTACTTCTTCGTTTTTCTTGATAGAATAATAAACACATATTTAATAAATATTATTTATTAAACTATTGTAGGTAAATTAAATAAAAGTAAACTGGGATAAATTTAAATAAGTCCATAAACTAATTTCGATATTGAAAATAGCTACAAACTGTCACTAGAAAGTTCCCATTACAACACTAGCTATCTTGATTACAATTTTATTGAAAAATCGCTCTTTATTCAAAATCTGAGCCAGATAGGTATAGGAAAGCCTAATATAGTTTGAAAGAGCATTTAAATCTGCTTCGAGTTATTTAAAAAATACAGGGTGTTACATTTGGAATAACGAAGTTTTTATGTAAAATAAATATTTAAAATAGACCAGGAATTTTTGATACCCCTGTATACATTTAAGTAAGGAATAACATTTTTCTGTAAAGTTTACTTCTCTACGTTTAAACTCAGCACAAGAACTAATTCTGAAAAGTAATGTACAGGGTGTTAATAATCTAATTTTATTGTAGCATGCAAATTTAAACATCTTTCAATATCTCAAAAACCAAAGATTTTAAACTAATAATAAAATACCTTTTTTTGGGCCCAAGAATCCAAATATGAAATAAAATACAGGGTGTTCCATAAGAAAAAATATAACTTTGGTATGGATCTTAGTTCTGAAACTCCCTGTACATTTCAAAATAATTTTAAATTGTGCACATTTCCTCGCCACATATACTCATAAAATATTTTGTTTCTACATCTTTCCGTTTTCGTATAATCGACCGAGGCGAATGAGGTGCGCCACCCTGTATATCTACATTTTGTTAAACTCCGATATACTTCATTAACAAATAATTACTTTAATTCAACATTCGTCCCACGTACAAGCATAGCTAGACCCGGGCAACCTCGTGTACCTGTCCTACTAAAACCACCACTCACCTGGTAATCGAGGAAGTTGCCATATCCCATATGGTCACAGGGACAGGGACAGTGGCGTATGTGGCTGGCCAGGTCCGGGTCGAGGGGCGCCGCTAGGATTTCGTCGGCCGGTGCCGGTGTCGGGACCCGACGGTGGCCCTGCATGCGGGGGTCCCCGCTGCTGCATCGATCACGCCGCCACGAGCGCGCTGCCACCGACGCCGCCGCCGCCACTGCCTTCCGGGTGCCGCACGTCACCAAGGCTCGCGGCGCACTGGAAACTCCGGAGTTTCCCGGGATAGAAGGACCGAGAAAAGGAAATTGTACGGCGGAGGGTTTTGTACTTCTCCCAAAACAGGGAAAGAGTTTGTTTAAGGATCCTGCTAAGAAATTTTTGGTCAAATTTAAAGTGTTATATTTTGGTTATTTTTAGTCCTATTTTGATGATTTTTTTAGCAAGCTGTATACAGGGTGGCGCACAGTGGTTTCGGCAATGGAAAAAACCCTCCAAAAAAAGGGATGTTAAATCGGGTTTAAATTATCCTATCTTACATCGAGTTAGTTCAAACACAATATAATAATATTACTTTTTTAATTTAATTACTAGTTTTGAATTTACAACACCTCCTTTTTGACAATTTTCTTAATATACGAAACGCGCACACAAACCAAACCGAAAACAAGTAATATTTTACATCCAGGAACTGTTTCGTTTATCCATGGGCATTAAAAGTAAAAATCATTTTGCCAAAATATACCGTGCCTTTGGTGCAGTTTAGTTTGAATCTATTTCTAATAAAATTACTTTACTTCTTACTTTAATCAGACTAGAACAAAAAAGCTTTACCGAGCTTTGGTCTCGGATTAATTTGACTAAAAAAAGCAACTGTTAAAGTAGTGATTCTTTAAATTTTATCGCTACATTCGGCCACATTTGTTAAAAATTTAAAATAAAAGATAAACAGTGTGGAAAAAAATGAAAACCACATTCTTCATTTTTGCGGATGCCGATGAATTCATTTAATATAATTTACTTTTTTTGCCACTTAAAATTATATAAACATCATTATATTGTATTTATAAATTATAATAATTTGAACCACAGTGTGTAACTAAACTGAGCATCAATTGAAGCGTAAAGTGCAAATTTTTGCATTAAGTTTAACTTCTTGTATTTTTTAAACTTTTGAAAGAATTTTGAATTTGCCAGCCAGATTCTAAAACATTGTTTTATCGACTATCGAACAGTTCTTTGCAGTTTTTTTTCAATTATTGGTCAGGACCCATAACACAGGGTAAAACAAAAATGCGCGCATTTTTGACAAAATTTTAAGTAAGCCTCATTTTGTGGAGGGATGGAAGAGATCCATTTTTTGTGGGTAGTTTGAAGGGGATGAGTTTTTTTGGTTATCGCTCTCCATCATTGCGATGTTTTCGATATTCTTATGATTGTCGGTAGAGCTTTAATACTAATAATTTTATCTCATTGTGAAATGAAGATATCGTATTTTTAAGCATTATGCATTTTAATGTATAATTAAATAAAGCAAACAAATAATTTTATAAAACTAAAAAGTGTTACAGTTATACAGGGCGTTAAAAATTTATCTAGCTGGTATATTTAAATTATATGAACAGGTTTTATTATGTATCTTGGCATAACAAATGAAGCATTTAACACTTTTTCATTAACGATGCAGTATAATCACTTAGTATAATCATTAGTTAATACGCATAATACTCAAAAATACAATATATTAATTTCATAATGAGATAAATTTATTAGAATTAAAACCTTACTGAAAATCATAAAAAAAGGAAAACATTGCAATGGAGAGCGATACCCAAAAAAAACTCAAAAACGTCCCGAGGTATAAAACGGCTCTTTTAAAATACCCACAAATAATGGAAATCCTCCATACCCCACAAAATGGAGGTCACTTAAAATTTTGTAAAAAATGCTCGCATTTTTGTTATACCCTGTATTATGGGTATTGGCCAATAATTCGATAAAAAAGCGTTTCAGAATCTGGCTGGCAATTCAAAACGCCTTCAATAGTTCAGAAAATACAAGAAGTTCAACTTGATGCAAAAATTTTTACCTTACGTTTTAATTGGTGCTCAGTTTACGTTTAAATAAATTTATTAAACCATGTTATTTGATGTATTTTATTAAGCTGAATCGAGTAAAATCCGTCCCAATGCGATTGGATTAACGGTTTAGGAAATATAGGGTTTTTTCGTTATATTATTAGTTTCACACCACTGTGTGGCGCACCTCATTCGCCTCGGTTGATTATACCCTTGTATAAAACAAGGATTATACGAAAACGGAAAGATGTAGAAAAAAAAATTTTTATGGCTATATGTAGAGAGGCAATATGCATAATTTAAAATTATTTTCAAATGTACAGGATGAGTCAACGATAGAGTAAAGTCCATTATCTCGTTTGTTTCGAGGTTTACAAAAAATATTAAATATAAAACGGGGACGGTTAAAATAAACATTTTAAAATTATTATAGAGTATACAGGGTGCTTCAAAACAGTGTGGCGAATATAACATATGTTTTTTTAAAGGCAACACCCTATTTTTTATTTTATTTTTAAATTCTGCGTAAAATTCCATAACTTTTTTATATATAATGCTATATACCTATAATCAATAGTTTTTGTAATATTTCAATTTGTTTAAACAAATGTTAAATTGCAGTGTGGTAAAAAATTGTCAGTGATGCTATTGTTTCTGAAGTTGGACAACTAAAATTTGGTAGGAGAATTTTATAGACATATAGAAAAAGACCGATGTAAAGATATTTTAGTTAGATGCTGCAGGGTGTTCAAAATATATTTACGAATTTAAACTACTTAAAATTAAGAAATTTCAAATTTTTTAAATGGTACACCCTATATATTATCATTTTTTCTCATAGATTTTACAAAACTCTTCAACTTTTATTAAGTATGTCATATAGTTACCATGACAAAATGTAACAATTATCAAAATTTCATGTCTGTTAAGCGAGTTAAGAACAAAATTTGAATTTTAGTTTAGTTTGTTGTAATAAGTATAAATGGTACAGATAATAGTTACAGATTTTCCTGAAATGAATTAGTCAATGTGACTGATATACACGAACAATCCAAGAAAAACCATATTTTTTGGTTCATTACTATATATTATATAGTGCTTTGCTAAGTACTATAAGAGTAGATGTAGATTATCTAGAAAATATATTCAGTGTGTAATGGGACGGTTTCGTGGCAGTAGTAATATTGGCTTTACGCAATGAATTATAAACCAGAATTACTACGAGAAAAAAAACTTTACTGTATGTCGAAGAAAATTCCTATATCAGTAGTCTTCAACAATTAGGTAATCTAGTATTATTCCAATCTGTGGCTATTCGCCCCGACGGAAAATCCAAGTGTCATCTTTCATAATATAGAAATACCTACACCAAGAAATTCAGGACTGCGATTTTAGTTTATTTAATTTTAACTAAATAATTTTAACTAATTAATTTTAACTAAAACCAGCAATTGTAACTAACTATTAAGCTACTTGTTAAAGATAAGTAATAAATAGTTTTGTTTTGTCATGGCAACTATGATTTTATAGCGTAAATGTATTAAAAATATGGGTAAAAATAGAAAAAAATTGGAATAAATCGCAAACTATTAAAAATCGGTATATGACATACTTAATAAAAGTTGAAGAGTTTTGTAAAATCTATCAGAAAAAATGGTAATATATAGGGTGTACCATTTAAAAAATTTGAGATTTTTTAATTTTAAGTAGTTGAAATTCATAAATATATTTTGAACACCCCGTATCATTTAACTTAAATATCTTTAGATATATCTTTTTTTTCACCTCTATAAAGCTCTCCTACAAAATTTTGGTTTTCCAACTTCAGAAATCATGGCACCACTGACAATTTTTTACCACACTGCAATTTAACATTTGTTTAAACACATTGAAATATTACAAAAACTATTGATTTTAGGATACAACATTATATATAAAAAAGTTATGGAATTTTACGCAGAATCTAAAAATAAAAAAATAGGGTGTTGCCTTTAAAAAAACATATGTTATATCTGCCAGACTTTTTTGAAGCACCTTGTATACTCTAAACGATAGAGTAAAGTCCATTATCTCGTTTGTTTCGAGGTTTACAAAAAATATTAAATATAAAAGTTATAGGGACGGTTAAGATACACATTTTAAAATTATTATAGAGTATACAGGGTGCTTCAAAACAGTGTGGCGAATATAACATATGTTTTTTTAAAGGCAACACCCTATTTTTTATTTTATTTTTATATTCTGCGTAAAATTCCATAACTTTTTTATATATAATGCTATATACCTAAAATCAATAGTTTTTGTAATATTTCAATTTGTTTAAACAAATGTTAAATTGCAGTGTGGTAAAAAATTGTCAGTGATGCTATTGTTTCTGAAGTTGGACAACTAAAATTTGGTAGGAGAATTTTATAGACATATAGAAAAAGACCTATGTAAAGATATTTTAGTTAGATGCTGCAGGGTGTTCAAAATATATTTACGAATTTAAACTACTTAAAATTAAGAAATTTCAAATTTTTTAAATGGTACACCCTATATATTATCATTTTTTCTCATAGATTTTACAAAACTCTTCAACTTTTATTAAGTATGTCATATAGTTACCATGACAAAATGTAACAATTATCAAAATCTCATGTCTGTTAAGCGAGTTAAGAACAAAATTTGAATTTTAGTTTAGTTTGTTGTAATAAGTATAAATGGTACAGATAATAGTTACAGATTTTCCTGAAATGAATTAGTCAATGCGACTGATATACACGAACAATCCAAGAAAAACCATATTTTTTGGTTCATTACTATATATTATATAGTACTTTGCTAAGTACTATAAGAGTAGATGTAGATTATCTAGAAAACATATTCAGTGTGTAATGGGACGGTTTCGTGGCAGTAGTAATATTGGCTTTACGAAATGAATTATAAACCAGAATTACTACGAGAAAAAAAACTTTACTGTATGTCGAAGAAAATTCCTATATCAATAGTCTTCAACAATTAGGTAATCTAGTATTATTCCAATCTGTGGCTATTCGCCCCGACGGAAAATCCAAGTGTCATCTTTCATAAT